CAGGGCTTGGGGCCGGGGTCTCCTCTGCGGCCACAGTGCCACCTACTGGCCACCAGCGGACGTGCAGGGCTTGGAGCCGGGGAGCCAGGGGGAACCCTAACTTATCCTGCCCTCCCTGCTTGGGGCTTCTTTGCCTGTGTCCTGCCTTGGTGCCGCGCAAACCCCCTTGAGCAGAGCTTTGTGCCCGGCTGGGTTAGTCTTAAGAAAAGCAGGAACCGCTCTGTTTCCCGCTGCGCTTCTCGGATAAGTGGGGGGCAGACTCAGGACCTCTCAGGCACTGGTGAGGGACAGAGACAGGTCTGGGCGCCCGCCCCGTCCCTGGAGTCCTGGCCACTGCCTGGTAGTCTGCAGAGTGGCCGTCGCGGTCTGTACGGGCCCAGCGTCGGCCTCCCCGGGCAGCTCGCTCGTTACCGCAGTGGACACTTCTGCGGGTGTTTATGGAGCCGCTGGGGGTGCCTGGACCTCGGGGCCACTGCAGCCCTAGTGGGGGCGATGGAGGAGGCGGGCTGGCGGGAAGACTGGGGGGTGAGGCACGAGGGGTGGGGGCCACGGGCCTGACTGCTCTGTTGGGGGGCCTTTGAGGGGGCTGGCGTGGGCCTCGGAAAGAGCCTCCAGGTGTGGAGCGGGTGGAACAGGGCCCGGGGCCTGTGGAGGGCGGGCGCTGGGGAGCAGACGCCCAGCGTCGGACCCGCAGGGCCGTGCGGGCGGGGAGGAGCGGACCAGGGCAGCGTGTGGGGGTGCTGACAGGACAGTCTGGAGGGCTCCCAGGCTGTCGGGGGAGAAGGGGCGTCGCCGGGGGGGAGGGGGGAGATGTGGGCGTCGTGGGTGGGCGGATTGAGCCCGCACCCCAAGTCCTGCATGGCGCGGCAGGCCGGCATCCCTGTCCCACCGGGGAACCCTGACGTCTGCAGGCCCCGCGGGAGGTGGGGCTGAGGCCCGCAGAGGGGCGGGCTGGCGAGTAAGGAGCCAAGCCCTGGCTGGGGGCTGCTCTTGGGGCCCAGAGGCGGGAGCAGGTGACCCCTCCCCAGGCCCGCCCCCAAGCCACAGCTCCCCAGGGGCGCAGACAGGGCGGGTGGGGATTTGCCGGGTGCGAGGCTTAGCTCCTGCCCAGCGGGCTGTTCTGGGGTGCAGGTGGCTAGTGCAGAACAGCCCGCCTCTGCCCCCCGGCACACTCCTGGATGTTGGGGCTCTGGGTGAAGCCCAGCCGCCCGAGGGGAGCTGAGTGTGTGCGGGCCCTACGGTGGGCGTGGGGGGAGCCACTGGCCCAGGATGCGGGCTGTGTCATCCCGTTCACGTCCGCCTGGACAGCGCCGTCCGGCGGCCATGATGGTGGAGGTGTGGCCGTGTGGCCGTGGGGCCGTATGGTGGCCAGGGCCCAGTCATGCCGGTCACTGAAGTGGGTGTGGGGGCTGTCTTCGCCGCGCTCCCAGGACTCGGGGGTGGACGGCAGCCGTGTCCCGCCCGGCAGGTGGTCAGGGCGGGCTTCTTGGAGGCGGCGTCTCACAGGCCCGCCTCCAGGCGGGGAGTGGGCTGCGCTGCTGTGGAGGGAGGGCCGCCACCCTGCGGGCAGCTGGCCGAGGCCGGTGGGTGGGGGGCGGTGCGCAGGCTGTGGCAGGGAAGAGCCTTCTCGGCTGGCCGACAGCCAGGACCGGACCCCGAGGTCTGTTCCTCCGGGGCCTTGTGCCCACTCTTCTGGGTCTGAGTGACGCCCCCTTGCCCGCAGGCTGCGCCGAGCCCCTGGGCATGCGGGACAACGTCATCCCCGACAAGCGGATCACGGCCTCCAGCACCTACAAGACGTGGGGCCTGAGCGCCTTCAGCTGGCACCCGTTCTACGCGCGGCTGGACAGGCAGGGCAAGTTCAACGCCTGGACCGCCCAGAGCAACTCCGCGTCCGAGTGGCTGCAGGTGGGTGACCCGGCACCTGGCGCCTGCCGGGCGCTGCGGATCCAGACCTGACGCGGGTGGCAGAGAGGAAACAGTCCCGCGGGGCTGCCCGGCCCACCCAGCCGGCAGCTGGGTCTTGGGGCGGCC